CTCGTGGTGTCTAGTTGTTTGAGCCACTGTCGCTTCTAGGTGCACTAAAAAGAGGAAGTCCTAAAGAAAGCCTTCGTTAAGAAGTATCGACGCTATTAGGTTCGAGGCCATCGCTCTTAGATTGGAGGCCATCGCAAGTAGGTTGGAGGCCATCGCTACGAGTAACAAGAAGAATCTCTTTTTCTTTGGTGACATCCTTTGCATCCAACTCATCTGCAGGCAGGTCCCGAGTTCACCGATGGCTTTTCGAAGTTGCAACATGGACAGCCGCCCATCATAGAGACCATGGCCGCTCAGAGAAAATGTCCAAGATGCACTGATTCGTGCAATCCTGTTAGCTTGAGTGATTAAGTGCTCAAATCTTAGCTCTTCTCATGGTGATGGAATTGGTTGCCAATCTGGAATGTGATGAACAAGTGCTCATTACCGCAAGCTTGCCAATCTTTCTTGCTCTTTCTACTCATTACTTGTTCTTCACATGAAAGAAGAGGTGACCTTTGATTCTTTCTGGAAGAGCTAAGAAAGGTGACGAAGGCGACGAAGGGCAACCCCTAGGAGAAGAAGGAAAGGCAACTAAAGAAGAAAAGATTAAAAAAATAATGATAAGAAAACCAAAAAAGGCCTTATTAAAGGGGGCCTTGCCTTCTTTGTTTCCTTTGTCTTCCCTTCTCATCTTCGTCTCCACTCAAGGTCTTGGTACCTGGCGTCCAAGTCGAGCAATTGGGAAAGCTGAAGGCTAGTGACGTTGCGAATGGTAGAACAACACCCATGTAATTGAACCGTTCTTCCTTTTTCTTGAATCCTGTTCTTTCTTTTGATCGGTACAAACAACGCTTCATGTTCTTGATTCAGACCTTTAGACCTGCGGTGATCAGCCACTGGTTTTCTCCACCCGACAGCCACGCTGCAGTCGGGACCGGACTCGGACTCCCGCTTCATGTCGCGGAGAGAGTATGTGCAGCTGGTTGAAGCAGAGGCTTGGGGCTTGGGGCGTCATAATTTGTTCTTTTCCATGGTTCCTGTAGACCAGACCTGTGGTGTTAATTCTAATTTGTTACTACTAGTAAGGCACTTGTTCCTAGTAGCTTCTTGTTACTAGTAGTAAGGCACCTGTTAGTAGTAACAATGGTTCCTGTAGACCTTTAGACCTGTGGTGTTCCTTTTTTTGTTTTCGCTTCTCGAGATCGAAGTTGCAACATGGAAGCTATTCAAGTCCGTGGCAAGAGATCCACCCCCCATGCTCGCGCGCCGTTATTTGAAGACAATCAAAGTAATCAGCATTCTGAATCAGTTGCAGTTCAGACACATACAGTCAGAAACTAGAGTTTTGAAGCTCATGGGCAGAAGACTTGGCTTTGTCAATGCAAAACATTGTGTGACAGTCCCAGTGCACGCAAGAATTGTTCAAAGCGACCATCTCAGGGTACAATTCCAGAAGATCAGAAGCTCAGTGTCAGGACCAGAAGATCAGTGTCAGCTTTAGCGTAGATCGCCAGAAGCTCAGGATGTATTGTTGTGGAATGTCAAGTGGCTTACGACTGCTGCTGCTGCTGCTACTACAACTGCTACTAGAAGCAGTACCAACAAAAGTGTTGTCATAGCTAGTTCTACAAAAAGACCTCCCAAGGTCGCCGCCATTTGGCGAGCTCCAGCAAGTGAGAAAGCCTGGGCCCCGGTGTTCTTTTTTCATTCTTCTCCACCCTAATAGCGATAGCAATGGCCTCCAACCTAATAACAATGGCCTCCAACCTAATAACAATGGCCTCCAACCTAATAGCAATGGCCTCCAACCTAATAGCAACGGCCTCCAACCTAATAGCGATGGCCTCCAACCCCCCTGCGGTGGCTTCCAACCTAATGGCAATGGCCTCCAACCTAATAGCACTGGCCTCCAACCTAATAGCAATGGCCTCCAACCTAATAGCAATGGCATCCAACCAAATAGTAATCGCCGCCAACCTAATAGCACTGGCCTCCAACCTAATAGCACTGGCCTCCAACCTAATAGCACTGGCCTCCAACCTAATAGCACTGGCCTCCAACCTAATAGCACTGGCCTCCAACCTAAAAGCGATGGCCTCCAACCAAATAACCTGATAGCACTGGCCCCCCAACCTAACAGCAATGACCTCCAACCTGCCTCCAACCTTCATAGCAACCGCCTCCAACCCAATAGCACTGGCCTCCAACCTAATAGCACTGGCCTCCAACCTAATAGCAATGGCCCTCCAACCTAATAGCAATGGCCTCCGCCCTAGTAGCAATGGCCTCCAACCTAATAGCAATGGTCTCCACCCTAGTAGCGATTGCCTCCAACCTAATAGCAATGGGCTCCACCCTAGTAGCGATTGCCTCCACCCTAGTAGCGATGGCCTCCAACCTGAGAGCGATAGCCTCCACCCTAATGGCAATGGCCTCCACCATAGTAGCGATGGCCTCCACTTTCCAACAAACTCGTTTTCTCTTCCACAGCTTTGTGGATTCTTTGGGGGGAGTCGCTTGGAGCAGTGGTCGAGTAGTTGTAGTTGTTTGTTGTTGTTTGTGTCTTTGTTATGTGTTATTCATTCTTCTCCAACCTAATAGCGATGGCCTCCACCTTCCTCAAGATGTTTTCCTCTTAACTTTTCTTTGTTGGATGTTCAAGGGTTCCCTTCGCGCTCCCTCCGCTCTACATGTTGTTCTACTCGAACTTGTTGGGTACTGTAGCCGATTCCTGTTGTGCTTTGCAGAAGACTGCATGAAGCTCAGATTTTGGTAGTTTCTTGATTTTGAGGGGTATCCTAGGATGACTTCAATCATTCTGACTTACGTAGATTGTGTAGGGTGTCATGACATCTCACACCAAGCCAAGAAAGATAATTTCTATTGCTATGTGTTCTCGCGGTTGGTAGCTGCGTTGGACACCAGTTTACGGCCTTCATTTGGGAAGCACAACGAGTGCCGGAGGCAGACTGAAAGCTGCAGACTGCCAAAGATGGAAGCTGCCCCAGCCATGTGTTCTTCGCTCCCGTTTGGAGCGAAGATGAGCATTTTACGTTGCGAAGATACACAGGTTTTGCTGCCCAATTCATACATATTCATGCCAGTCTTGCTGAGGGAAATAGTGTGAAGGCACAAAGGTGGTTTTGTAGGAATTGGTTTTAGTGCTTTGACAGTGCTGGGTGATGCCTCACATGTGCCGTGATGACACGCGGTTTCGTAGTGTGTAGGCCACTAGGAATTATTCCACTCACAGCATACTTATGTGAGTGATGGCAGGGAAGATGACTGCTTTAGCAACACTTTGAGCAAAAAGTGATGGAAACAAACATGTTCTACATCACCAAACCACTTAGTGTCTTAGGCGATTCTGGCCCTGAAGGCCTTGGCACAGCCCTACCGTACTTAATAACGTTGAATGTTTTCTGGTCGCCCCTAGTAGCGTTCTCGTTCCTAGTAGTAAGGCCAGGAGCCCCTAGTAGCGTCCTAGTAGCGATGCCAGGAATCACTCCCAGAAGACAACTGCATTGCAAAGTCATTTTCCCCGCCCCTCCGTGCCAGCGCTCAACTGCGCAGCACTGGCGGCACGGGGGGCGGCAGCCGTGAAATGCGTTTCACCGAGAGTGGCACCAAGACAAGACTGCGATGCAAACATCGATCCAATGGCTTCTGAGAGACATCCAGTACCGTCATGAATTTATGTGGCTGAGACAGTTGAAGAACATGTGCATTCTGAAGTAGAAGAAACGGCATTTCAGAGCGAAAAGGGTAGAAAGAAAAGATTGTAACTTGCCGAAAGAAAAGAATACGGCCTTGATTGCAAAGTGAATGTGGAGCGCTGGGCCCTGCTTGCTCGATCCACCATGTTCAGCTTGTGACCTCCACGCGTGTGTTGTCGCGATCTGAGCTGGAGGTGTGAAACGACAAAGAGAAGAAGAAGAAGAAGAAGAGGAAGACGAAGAAACCGTTTAGCAAAGAAGGAAGCAGACAGCCTGCGGGCATTACAGTGATCTTGTAAATAGAAGCATCTCGTGCCAAACAGATGCAAATTCGTGATTCAAGACCGTGTATTTAGAAGCATTCTTGTTGGGTGAAAGGTGTTTATGGGTGCTTGGTTCAACTAGCATTCAATTGTATATATAGAGTGTGGAAGATCTCTTGCTTGAAAAATCCTTGTTAGGCAGGAAGCATTTGTGTTGAAAACATGTTGTAACAAATGTGAATGCACTAGCAGTTGCATGTTTTGAGCAGAAGGTGGAGAAGGACTCACCCTTTCCATTTGTATCCGCGGCGGCAAGCATTGTGTTGGTCCCAACGATGCGTACAGTCCGAGCAAGACCTTCCGCTACTCGACGGTCGATCACTTAGAAGGTGTTGTCAAAACGGTGCGGAGCCCAAGCTTTGAGATTCTGAAAGAAAAGAAAAGAAGCTACTAGGAACAAGTGCATCGCTTCTAGTAACAAGTGCCTTACTAGTAGTAACAATGTTAAAGATGTTTGAAAACGATAAATAACTATAGTGTAAAACATAAGAACCAAGAAGAAGACGAGGAAGAGAAGAGCGCGGTACTACTCAAGGCTCGGGAACAATCTCTGTAGGACTCGAACCGTGTAGAGGTATTCACGCAATGAAGCATATCCAGGTAGGATACGGAAATAGTTTGCTATTAGGTTTGAGGCCATTGCTATTAGGTTCGAGGCCATCGCTCTTAGGTTCGAGGCCATCGCAAGTAGGTTGGAGGCCATCGGTAGTAGGTTGGAGGCCACTGCTATTGGGTTGGAGGCCATTGCTGTTAGGTTGGAGGCCACCGCTTCTAGGTTGGAGACCATGGCTAGTAGGTTGGAGGCCATTACCATTGCCATTAGGTTGGAGGCCATGGCTTCTACGTTACTTGGAGGCCATTGTCATGTTCACTATTGGTAAATTCTTCTGCTTGCGCCGGCAAACCTCCGCAGCTTTTGCACTGCCTAGAGGACTTTTCGTGTGACAAGCGTTGGACGTTCAGCCCGACGAATTCTGCCATGGAGATAATGAATTACCACAAGACTTTTCTTGACCTGAGCTTTGCAGAGGTGCACCTGCTTGGGAGCACGAAGGATGTTGAAAGGTGAAAGACATGTCAAAGGATGTTCTGGTGACTTTGATAACCTGGAAATGGCCGAGGGTGGTCACACTACTAGGAGCTCTTGCGGTACTAGTTAAGGCTAGGTTTGATCCAGGGTGCTCATATCCGTCTCTCTTGCCGCGATAACTTGAAGCCTTCTGCTTTGGGTATGTCAAGAAGGCGAGAGGAACTGAACAGAGCCTTGATACCTTGTTTAAACCCAATTGCTTTGAGGATTGCCCGGGAAAGGAGAGCCCTGGGCAAGTTGCCTGTATGTTGGCAGAAGAATCTTGGACAAAGAACCGATAAAGAGGTCGATCCATTTGGCGTTCAGAAAGAATACATTCTACGGCTGCCAAACTGCGCCCGGTTTCCAGATGACGCAGACCTTTCTTCGAATTTTCCGACAACTGTCCAGTCGAACGTCTTCCCCTCACCAACAAGAGCGGCCGTTCAAGGTCGTGTAATCTTCCAAATGTCCACTTCTGGACCATGTTTTTCTCTCAACCTTGTTTCCTTTCTTCTTACCGAATGCCTGTGTTTGCGTGAAGTTATTTATGTTTTGGGCCAGGTTCCTACGATGCGACGTAGCCAGAGCCTTCCGCCTGCGACATTTTGGGCCGCAAGCAGAGCCGACTTCTCAAAGACCGCATATGTGCCGCGGCATGCCACGGCCCAACAGGCGGTTCGAAGTTCGAATCAAGCCTGTCTTTCAGACCTTAGGTTGGAGGCCATCGCTAAATAGAAAGAGTTTGCCAAAAAAAACACAGAGGGGGCATGATGTAAGAAGAAAATGCCCAGGAAAGGAAGGCGAAGAAAGAAAGAAACACTTACAGGAATACTGGTTGCTTGCTGTTGGTCGTTGGCTCAGTTCCCACAAACCAGAATCCTGTTCCTTCCTTCGCGGTAGCTGTTTTTACAGCCGGAAGAGTTCTCTAGTCGGGTTCCTGCAAGTGTTCCTTTGTTGTCCTTTTTGTTTTCCTTTTGTTTTGCGCTTTCCTTCTGTTTTCCTTCAGATGGTAGAGGATCCAGGACCAGGGATTGTCGCATACCTTCGCCGCCTACGAATGCTTCTTATGTGTCTTGCTCTCGCCGTGCCTCATCTCAGGCTGAGTCCCTCATGTGCCGTGCAGCTGAAGCCTTTTCGTGGCCGGTTCACGTCAACGAGAATTTGGGCAGCCTTGGTCATCCAGAGATCTGCGGAAGTCCCTGCATTCGCCCCTTGATCCAATTCGATGTTGAGACGTCGACTTAATTGAAACCGTTGGAACTGATTAAGGTTTCAATGAAGCTGCGGTTTGCCGCCTATCATAGTGCGACGGAGACCAAGCAAGTTTCACATGTTGTTGATTGAGGAAATTCCATGTGACGAAGCGCGTCCCCACAACCCATGTCAATAACAAGATTCATGACCATGCCATCGCCCGCTACACTGCTACACTGCATTCAAGATCATTCAAGATCCAGACTCCTTTGGTGTCGATTCACTCAAACCGCCGTCGTTTTCGCACCAAGCGTTGCGTAAGGCTTTTACTATGGAAGCTGCAAGAAGGCTGGGTGCAACCAATGGCTAGATCGAGCTTTGGACTTCTGAGGGGACCCAGAACGATACAAGAGGTGATTAGTTTATGCCTTTTCAAGCAAATCTGTTTAACAAATGCTACCGGTTTCTTCGTTACAAACAGACCAGCGCGGAAGCTTGTTTGTTCAGACCCTGCAAACCATGTCATCAGGGCATGGACTGCCAATTCTGCCATTTGGAACACGAGGCTCAGCTGCAAAGAGGAGTTATATTTTGAAGGGATTTCTCCTTGCAAAAACTGATATGCCCGACAACAATGGTGTTCGGTGCAAAAACAAGAAGACGCAGTCTATTTAGGCTTATTTGCCAACAGCCGAGCCATCCCACCAGTTTCTTGTGTGCCGCTGTAGTAGGGGGATACCATGTGACATTCATGGATTCCATTGGATTTCCTCACTAAGGAGGCCTCCAAGAAGAAGTTGGACAAAATGCAACGGCATTGCTTCGAGTCCATGACAGAAGCGCAGGCACCGCGGAAGCAAATGCTTCGTTAGTGGGCCCTATAAACATTGCTAAGAAATGTTGCACAGGGTTGCTGTGTCACCAGTCGTTTTGTGCTGGGTGTCCTGACAACAGAGAGAAACTAGCAGGAATGAGTGCAGATTCTTTTTCAGAAAGTTCAGAAGCGGGATATCATGTTTCCACACCGTGTGGAAACAGACTCCAAGGAAAGCTCAGGATCCGGTACCTAGTTTTTTTGTTTTCTTTGGACCTTTCTTCTCGTAGTTGTTTCTTTATATAGATCTTAATTTTATGTCATGTTCTTTCGATCTTTATTTTCTTTAGACAATTTCGCTTTGGTTATTTTTTCTCTAGACCTTCTACGTTTTCCTCATTTAGATCGTTCTTTTCCTTTGTTCAGTTTTCCTTTAGACATTTTGGCAAGTTTATGCATTGTTTTCTCTAGACTTGTGTTTACCTTCATTCTTAGTCTATGGATCCGGTGCTGACTTTCCTTTCAAAAGGTCGAGTCTTTGTTGTCTAGTCTTTCTTCATCCTGTTTGCTTGTTTGGGTCTACAAGGTTCTGGCCGTGCTCCTCTTCCACATGGAGAGACGATGTCAGAAGAAAGACATCACAGATCAGATGATTCTGATCTTGAGCTGCGTGCGACGGCGCTTGAAGCTTCTTCCAGAACCCCAACTCACTCCTGAGACTTGGTAGAATCTTGAGAAGACCGGGAGACGCAGAAGGGAGTGTGTTTTGTTTGCCAAGCTATGTGCCATGAACACAGTCGAGGAGATGACAGCGACTTTATCCAAAGCCTTCAACAAGTTGACCGTTGGGCGATTGCTGGATTTGGTGAAACAGAGCCGAAGCGTCTCCCACCCTTTCAAAGCCGAGCTCCAAAGCATTGTGGCGCGCACAGCCTGCTGTGCCCGATGAGTGATACACATGGAGCCTCGAATGAACAAAACCTGCCATGGTGTGTTTTTGGTTTGCAGTTCGCATGGAGAGAATTTCTCTCCAGTCAAATAATGTCTATGGCTGGGTGGCTTTGACAACTATAAAGGGTCTTAATTCATTCCGTCTTGCGCAGACTGTGGCGATATTGAGAGTCCAGCAGGAAAGAGTGGTGCTGCTATGCTAGAGATGTTTAAATGAACCATTTGCTACAACACAAGCAGTGTTTCGATATGGTTGGACAAGGAAACTATCGAATTGCCCTGTTCTTGCTTGCTATGTTCAGAGGGGAAAGGCCCAACTGAATCTGCCTCCTGTGCTTTCAAAGACGCCTTGGATGCCTTTGCACATGGCACTCAAGCATGCGCGCCACCTTTCACATGAAAAATGTGCACTTGCTACCGACCCTTGCTACGACAAGATCTATTGATTGGGAAAAGGACGGTTCTTTGGAACCAAGGGAGTGTGAAAGTGTGAAGCGAATGGGAGTGTGAAAGTGTGCCAAGTTTGGGCCACAGAATGCGTGGCATTTTCTAGTTAGCCGATTCAAACCCTGCCTTTCAAGTGCAGAGATAGACATCTCAGTGCGAGGCAAGGGTGCCTTTCAGGTGGTCAGACCGCCTTCAGGCTCTTTAAGCCGCCAGCCTCAGTGTTCCTTTTGAAATCGTCAAGCGCTCTGAAGCTGTGTGGCCCCTTTTTGATGGATTAGCTCCAACCCAGAACCCACCAGGGTCATCCACGGCCCAAGGTCACTGGAAGGTGTTTGGTGCGGGTTTGGCAAAGACCAAGCGCAGGGCTTTAGACCCACAACATGAGACTCACCACATTATTTTCCAGCATCAAAAGCAGAGCGAGCATAGCAGCGAGCATGGCGAGCATGAAACCTTTGCATATTCATGGATATGCTCGTTTGGTCCTACGACCGTCTTCCCTTCAAGGTCACTCCAAACGGCAAAGAACCCTTCCTGTGGGCCCCAAACAATTCGTGTGGATCCCAGGTGTGAAATCCAATTTGCTAACGCCAAGGCTTTTGACCACGACCCGTTCAAAAGCTGAAGTGGAGTTGGACGCCAAACTGCAGGAGGCAGGCCGCGTACCCCTAATAGCCATGGCCTCCAACCTACTAGCGAGGGTCTCCAACCTAAGAGCGATGGCCTCCAACCTAATAGCGATGGCCCCCAACCTGCTGGGGATGGCCTCCAACCTAGTAGCGATGGCCTCCAATTTAATAGCGATGGCCTCCAACCTACTACCAACCTAGCCGCTCACCCTTGTGAGTTTGTCTATGATACCTTATCTGTTCGCATTCCGTGATAGGAGAGACATGAAAGTGACAGGTTATACTTGAAGCTTACTTCAGTTTCTGTGCGTGGAGATCATCATTCACCAAACAGTTTACTGTTGGGGTTCAATGCTTTAAAGCTAGTGTGTTCGCCTTCTCGCAATTCTGAGCTACTGTGGCCTTTTTGTAGCGACTCCTTAAGAGAAATTCTCTACACTTGTCTTTGGGCTAGTGTGTCCGCCTTCTGGCAAGGCCTTAGTAGGAGTTCTTTACATGTGCCAACCAGTAGCATTTCTTAGTGTAGTTTGCACTGCTGTGTCCGCCTGTTGGCATACTAGCCCTGGTTTTACATGGTAGTTCACCTTTAATTGTTGCAGATTGGTGCTGCGGCTCGGCCCTCATCAATGCGAGATTCGAGATGAGTTGTCGTTGTTTTTCTTCAAGTTCTCTTCGTAGCGATGGCCTCCAACCTACTAGCGATGGCCTCCAGAAAAAGGCTTTCTCAGCGACATAATAACCTTGCTAACACTTGCTTCCAGGAAGTCTTAGCTGCATGCACAAGTTATACCGTATATTTGAGTTATCAGGTGTAAGGTTTCTATGTTCGCACCTTTTGTTCATGTCCGTCGCCATGTTTCTTGTACAAGAATCCTCCCAAAAGGGCTGGGAACCGCAGGCGCTTGCAGACAGGCTGTGGGATTCCGTTCAAGCCTTGCCCACGGGACGAGGAAATCTAGCAACGCTTTAGGAAATAGGATTAGCAAGCCTGCCACCAGTAGCGATGCCAGGAGCCCCTAGTAGCGTTCTTCTTTCTAGTAGCGATGCCCTTTGTTACTAGTAGCGAACCTTGTTACTAAGGTCGTGACGATGGTCTAACGAGTTTGCCCCGTGGGTTCTATGAGTTCTATGCGGACGAGAGATAGACCTTGTAGACCTTGTGGCCGGTAGTGAAAAAGCGAAAACCCCAACACCTTCTTGAGCTACTTGAGAGTCACAAGGTGCGGCCAATAGCTCTCTTGGTAGTAACAAGAAGCTACTAGGAGCAAAGGGCATCGCTACTAGGAGCAAGGACGCAGCTGGGGGCTCCTGGCTGTACTACTAGCAGCATTCTTACTACTAGTAACAAGAAACTACTATTAGGTTTTAGAAGGTCAACAAAGTGGAAGCAGTTTATCCTATGTATTTCTCTGTAAGGCAGTAAGAATGCTCCTAGTTGTAAGGCCAGGAGTAGTAGCTTCTTGTTACTGGTTTCTATGTAACTATTCAAAGCTTCCACTTTGCATTTCAATGTGAGCCTTCAGTGTAGACTGTTTGCATCTAAAATGTCTTGAGTTTGTGATTAGAGTTCAGTCCAGAGATGAACCTTCCAGTTCGGGACAAACGAAAATCTATTCCCCACTGGACATGGCAAGGGGCAAGGGTTGAGCGCTCAGTCTCCGGTACATTCTGAACTGACATGAATGCTCTGCATTGAAGCTTCGCAGGCCGTGGCCGAAGGGAACACAGCTGAAAACGAGTAGCAGTAAGAATGCTCCTAGTAGTAAGGCCTGGAGCCCCTAGTAGCGTCCTTGCTCCTAGTAGCGATGCCAGGAGCCCCTAGTAGCGTTCTTGTTCCTAGTAGTAAGGCCAGGAGCCCCCAGTAGCTTCTTGTTACTGGGATGGAAAAAGAATGCACTCTGGTTCAGAGACATCCAGACTGAAGGTTTTGTAGAGGGTGAAAGCTCAAAATGCACTCCTCAGGGATACTAGTTCAAACGGACTTAAGATTCCCGGTTCCATTCAGGGTCGGTAGCGAAGGCAGATGTGGCTGACCCCGGACCCAGCTGCCAAGTCATGACAATGTTCAGGCAGCAGGGTTTTGTCAGGTCTCAAGTTCAGAAGTCCAAGACCAACGTGCAAACACAAGTGTTTGTGCAAACAGTGTGCCACAGAAGTGTCATCAAAATCCCAAGTGTGGACCTTCAATGTGCTACACTTGTAGCGCAAGCTGAGACACAACGATCGTTGTCTTATGATGGCCTCACCTTTTTGCCTTTGAGCATGAACACAGTGGCTCCTGGGCCCACGGCTCATCACCTCGCACTGCAGGGTTAGAAACCAAGAAGACTGTCTCCCAGATTTGCCGCCAGACTGTCCTCGCAACTGTGTTAGATAATGGTGCCTTCCATAGCATGCGGAATTGATGAGGCGCTGCACTGCCCCTACTCCTGAGCACGCTGAAGTATCCTGAAGCATACCGGTCACTCCACAAGTCTCAAGACTGCCGGGTTCCAGCGTCCTTGCTCCTAATAGCGATGCCCTTTGTTCCTAGTAGCTTCTTGCTCCTAGTAGCGATGCCAGGAGCCCCTAGTAGCGTCCTTGCTCCGTTCGTAGCGATGCCGGGGAGTACCTGCGCGTACCTCACTACATGTGTTGCATATGCTACTTACTTTGCTTATGCTTCTGACAGCAGTTTTGGAGCACTTGGGACATTTGGGACCTTAAAGCTTGATGGAAAACGTGTGAAGCGCTGTTCGGCCAAGCCACTCGGTGTTCGTCGAGACATGCTCAATCTTCATCCAACCCACGTGCAAGTGGGCTGCCAACTGTCAGCGATGCTGGCACTGAGACAGCCATACTGCGCACGCGAATAATTTTGTGTTCCTTTTGATCAGCTGCAATCATTTGTCGATCAAAGGGAGCACACAGTGCTGATGTTTTGACTTAAAAAACAAGCTCAACAGGTACACTTTTGTCAAACAGAAACCTCGAACCCAAACAGAGACTCTTGTTGAAAGGGGTAGCAACACGCTCGTTCAATTCCCTCTCTTGCTGAAAGATGTAATTTGTTTATCCGCAAACATGGAGAGATGGCCGTTTCTATGCATCGCAAAGGTACTGGTTTCTATGCGGATCTGGGGTATGATCTTGTTTGAGCGAGCTGAGGGGTGAGCATTCATTCGCACGGGGTCCGTCCATTCGTAAGTGAACCTGTCATCGCTCCAACCGGTTGGAGGCTCTTTGTCCTGTCTTCTCACTTCTTCTCCGCGTGCGCAGCTCCTAATAGCTCTTTGTTCCTAGTAGACAGGCCAGGAGCCCCTAGTAGTGTCCTTGCTCCTAGTAGAAAGGCCAGGAGCGCTTAGTAGCTTCTTGTTCCTAGCAAGTGAACCTTCTCCCTGGATCTTCTCACATCTTCTCACCTTAGATGAGCTACCGGGTCTGAAGCGTCCATGGCCAGCTTTGGCCCACGATCTTTTTGTAGCCGCCTGTGGCACAGCCTCGGCGGGCTTCAGCTTCGGCCCTCGACCTTGGATCTTCACCGCCAAGTTGTCGACCTCCGAAGCGGCACAGAGCAATTTGTTTTGAGCCCGTTTGTCGACCTAATCAAGTAGGCATCCTAGCTACTTATATTAAGCTACAGTTGGACGCAGGATAGTTCACGCTTCTTCCCCTGAAGGCGGGGGAGAGCTTCCTCGAACAAGCGCTTGCACTAGCGATTTGGTTCCTAGACCTTTGAGGAAGGTTAACTTCAAACCCACAAGAAGCTACTAAAGGAGCAAAGACCCTACTAGATTTGCGTTCCATTGCGTTCCTAGATTTGTTGATTCAGATGTTTCTTTGGAAAGTCCAAACGGCCATTTCAAACCATTTCGTGACCTGGGCCGAGACTCCGAGAGATACCATTTCGTTGGACAACTTGGGGTCTCTTTGGTTAACAAGCGACCAAACGTGCCTTTTATGTTTACGGGCGGTGGGTTGGCCGTGGTAGGCTTAAGAGTATTAGCGTGGTCTCATCCACAAGAGCTGGTAGCTACTAGGTAATATTTCGAATATCGAAACAGCGAGCAGGTGACTCTACTGTTCTTGCGATGCCAGGAGCCCCTAGTAGCGTCCTTGTTCCTAGTAGCGATGCCCGGAGCCCCTAGTAGCTTCTTGTTCCAAGTAGTAATGCCAGGAGCCACTAGTTGCCCCAGAAAATGCAAAGCCCCATCCACAGATTTGGAAAATGGTTCGCCGCTTCATGTTGCTAAGTACACTATACCACATATGTTCAAGCCAGTCTTGAGAACATCATCCTTCGCGTCACCATCCACCCCAATAAAGTAGAGCCAAGGTGTCCAATTCAGCGGAGCAAAAGGGCCAAATTGAATGCCTTCAGGGGATGCCGTGGTTAAACGAACTACGAAGTGGAATTTCTGGAAGTTTCACGCGAAGCTTCATGTAGCAAAAAGTGGATTCTCACAGGCTTTTGTACTCCCAAATCTGCAACATGTTTCCACTTCCTGGTTTGTTGAACAGAGGCTCCCCGTTAGCAGAGGCTTTGGCCACATAGTATTTTTGCGCCTTGGCAGCTTCAAGGCATCCGGGCAGCTCAGGCTCAATTTTCCCATCGCAGCTTTGATCCATCGCTCGGTGGTTCATTTGTTGGAGCGTCTTTGACTCTGCGCCGTGCGTTCCATAAAAACCTCAAAGTTGTTCCAGAGGTTTTGCCTTTCACCTTTCGCCACTTGGCATATCCCCGACCATCGAACGGGCCAAAAGTTTGCTGTGGCTCGAATCCAGAGCGTAGCGGTTTGAAAGCTCAAGACAGGCCAACCTGGTCGAGAGACGGGGAATCTGACGCGTGGTGGCTAGACCGCACGAGTTCAGTGACCCGAGACTGAAACGGACAAAGCCAACATGGCAACATCGCGGGTGCTTGGTTTCAGTGACTGAATAAGTTGAGACCAGGTTTAGCGTGTGAAGCCAGCACCAAGCCCATGTGCAGTGCTGCAGACGGCTCCGCGGAAGACGGTTCTCAAAGGGAGCGTGTGCAAGAGCGGCTACCCACAACTGGCCCCTTCAAAACAGAATGCCACATGCCAATCCAACCTAGTAGCGATGCCTCCAACCTGCTAGCGATGGCCTCCTCAACATTGCCAGAGATAAGGCATTCTTGAATTTGTATTTGCTGAATCAAGATTTTGAAGCCTGTAAGAAAAGGCTCTCCTCAGCCACGTCTTCAATTATCACCGAATTCACTCAATCTCTTGACCCATGATACCAGTGTGAGCCCAGGTGTCATCCACAAAGCAGCCTTTGACTTTATTGGGAAAAGGCGTTGCGCCGACCACTCGCGACTCTAGATCAGCAGTCTTGAGCAGATTGATGGGGCTCTTGGAACCTTTGATTGCAATTGTTGTGCTATGCTGTATTTGTTGGAGGTCATTGCTATTAGGTTGGAGGCCATCGCTATTAGGGCCATCGTTGTTCTTGCCAAATACGGCCAAACTGCCAGTGCGTATACGCTTTGGTGCATGATTTGCTTTCCTTGTTGTCATCGGTGCCTCTTTCTTGTCATCGAATGACCCTCGAAATGGCCACAAAAACAAGCAGGTGTTTGTTTAAGGTCGGCCAAAAAGGACTTCAACAACAAGAAGCTACTGGGGCTCCTGGCCTTACTACTAGGAGCAAGGACGCTACTAGGGGCTCCTGGCATCGCTACTAGTAGCATTCTTACTAGTAGCAACTTGAAAGGCTTGTTCAAAACTGTTCCAATGAGTGAAGGCATTGCGCGTAGCATTCATGACAAGAACGTGACAAGTTGAGCTTCCGAACGGGTTGTTTTTGCTGGCTCAAGTATTTGGGGTGCGATTTGGGAGGCCTGGGAGGGTTGCTTGCAGAATATACAGAAAGAAGGAGGCATCGCTACTAGGTTGGAGGTCTTCGCTCTTGCCATTGCTATTAGGTAAACAGAAAGAAGGACAAAAAAATAATTCAACGCGGAAGCTGCTAGGCTTTGTTTTTCAAGTGACAATCAGTGAAGGTGAAGTATCAATCGGAACCTGTTCTTTTGTCTTTTGCTTACTTTCATGTGTGTGTGTGTGTTTTCTTTGGAGCTTTTACTTCTTATTGTTCCCTTCTCCCCTGCTTCTGAGAACTTGCAAATGGTAACATTCCTCTGCCTCTTCCTCTTCCTCTCCTTCTTCTTCTTCTTCGTATTCTTCTTCTTTGTTTATTTTTGTTCGTTTTCTTCTTCTTTTCTTCTTCTTCTTCTTTTTCTTCTTCTTCTGAGTAGTAGTATGGGTAGGAAAGACAAAGACCGAAGTGGTTTAGTGCAGCAGAAGCTCAAGTGCGAGGCCTGAATAGCAGGCGCCAGTCCTCGCAGGGTACAGAGAGCTGCTTGGAGCTCAGGCTGTTTGGGGGACATTACTGGAGACATTGATTAAGTTTCCCCAAAGATGGGTTCAGGAATGCCTTACCTGACTACTACCTTTGTTTCCTTGTCTTTGTCATTTCAAAATGGCACCCCTTCGGTAGCCACGCGCACTTTTGTGCTTTTGAGCTTTTAAACTATCTTGATATTCATTCCTGCTTGGCTGTACTCCGCTGGGATTTCGCAATACCAGCTGCCTCCTGAACCATCCTACCTCGCTGAAAAGAGGCTTTGCAGCTGCCCATTGCCTTGCAGCCATGTATGGCGGTCGGCCGGCTCAACATACAGCTTGATCCACTGCTGCATGAGTTGACTCACTTGACGTCAAACAAAGAAGTAGAAGAATAGCAAATAACAAAGGATCAGCAAAGATCGAATCTAAAGGTTCAATCAACAAAGCTGAATGATAAGACCGACTTCCGTTCTTCAATGATACTTATCAGAGCAGTTCCAATGGCATTTGATTTGCCAGGTGTGGGAATCATGACGCCCAAGGGCTCGGGCACAAATGGCTCCTTGGCTTTGGTTGGGAAGTAACATCGCTACTAGTAACACGGGGATCGCTACTACTAGTTTCCTTCCTCCTACCCTCTACCTCTTCCTTACAGTCTTAAACAATGTAGGGAAGTCGTGCCTAGTAGAATTCGGGTAGCACTCGTTTCTCCAGCAGATGATGTTTCTTCGTTACCTCGAATACGTCAGAGTCTGGAAGCACTGAGACAAACTGGCTAAAAGCGTCCTTGCTGCTAGTAGCGATGCCCTTCGTTACTAGTAGCTTCTTGTTACTAGTAGTAATGCCAAGAGCCCCTAGTAGCGTCCTTGCTCCTAGTAGCGATGCCCTTTGCTCCTAGTAGCTTGAGCAGATGAAACCTCTTCAGGTTATGTGCAACGAAATCTGTCATTTTTGCCACGGCAGCGCTTGGACTTCCAAGTGCGGAACCTAAGACGAGCCGAAAAAGAACTGACAAAGTTAATCCAATCAAGAAAAGGGGTTCTTTGATGTTCTTATCCTTATTATCTCACAAAGTCTTACTTATCCCTTGATTCCCGTTTTGAATTGAAACAGGAATCAATCAGCAGGGAAAGGTTCAAGGTTCAAAAAGGAGTTTCCTCTCTGTTGCTGTTTTAAGAAGTTCTGTTTCAACAACAACTCTATTGCTTGCGAGCTAGTTGCATAAATGTGTTTTGTTCATGGCGAGCTTATCAGTTGAAGAAGTGATGCACTTGTTTATCGTTCAAGCGTTCTCTTCCTCCGTGTTTCTTGTCATTTCAAGTCCTTGAAGGCTGCAGAGTTTGCTGAGGCCCAGATTGGTCAGAGCTTCAAGAGCATGACGGGCGAAAATGCCATCAAGGCAGTCCAAGGGGGGGGGGGTAGGCCGCTAGGAGGTGAGGTGAGGTAGGTGAGGTAGCTTGAGGTAGCTAGTAGCTAGGTAGCTACTAGTAACTGGACGCAGGATAGCTCACGCACGCTCGCACTAATGATTTGGTTCCTAGATTTTTAGGGAAACTTAACTAGCGATGGCCTCCAATCTAATAGGAATGCCCTCCTTTTAGGGGATAGGTCGTATCAAGACGTGACATGATGTGGGATGTGGATGGATGAAGAAGCTTTGATTAGTAAGCCATCAGGAGCAAGGACGCTACTAGGGCTCCTGGCATTGCTACGAACGGAGCATTCTTACTACGAACGGAACAAGAAGCTACTAGGAACAAGAAGCTACTAGTAACAAGTGCATCGCTACTAGTAACAAGTGCCTTACTAGTAGTAACAATGTTTGCCATTAGAAACAATAATAATAAGCTAATAGCTTCTTGTTACTACTAGTAAGGCACTTGTTTCTACTAGCTTCTTGTTCCTAGTAGCGGCTAGTGACATCCAGGAGCCAAGACCAAGCTGTCAATTTTTTTGTGCACAAAGAGCTGAGCTGCTTTCAGCTTCTTTCAAGTTCTGGAAATGACCCAATTAGGGAGAGGCTGTTTGTGGTTCTTTGTGTTCAATTTGTTCAAATCCAATTCATTCTCCAGTGTCCATGTACTCAAAAATGGAACATGAACAGTCTCCACCCTTGCAGGTGCGCAAGGCCAACAATGAACTCTTGATTCATGAGCAGAAGAGAAAGGCCGGAGCACATCATTCCAATAAAAATACCGAATGTGGAAGAAAAAATGACTTAGTAGTGTTGCTAGTAGAGAGAGAGAGAGAGATGCCCTTGTTACTCATGTCGGTGTCCTTCACTCGTTAAGACTTCGAGAATTTGCCAGGTGGAGAATGAGCTGCTCAAGCTCGAGGCATGGAGCAGACACGCAAACCAGACAGCCCCGTTCGTAGCGTCCTTGCTCCTGGTAAGGCCAGGAGCCCCTAGTAGCTTCTTGTTCCTACCTTGATTCTGTGAACTATAATGTGTTTTATCAGATTCTCTTTTTTTTACCGCTCCCCCCTCCCAAGTAAGCTACTAGGCTAAGTAAGCTTCTAGCAACTGGACGCAGGATAGATCGCGCAGGCTAGTAGGCGGCAGGGAAAGCTTCCTTGAAGAAGCGCTCGCACTAATGATTTGGTTCTTAGGATTTTTACGAAAACATGACTAGTAACAAGAAGCTACTAGGGGCCTAATGATGCCTAGTGAAAGCGGCAGCCTTGTTCAAAGGAGGATTCTTGCTAGGAATTATGGAAATTAAGGGATTGGTTCTAATCATCATACAGCATTCATTCACAGTCTAGCAAGAGATACTAGAGGCCATCGCTATTAGGTTGGAGGCCATCGCAAGTAGGTTGCAGGCCATCGTCGCTTCTAGATAGCCGTAAAGTCCCAAAAAGAAAGCGGGTTAAAATTAGTTTATCAATGCAGTCTCGCCTTTCATACCACACTGGCGGCGATTGCAGGATGAACTTCTCTCTGCTGGCATGCCAGAATCTGAAGTTCAGCGAGAGCCCCAGGTTTCACAGAGGTGTTCCTTCTGTTCTTTGCTTTTGCAACCGTTTCATTTGTCTTTCTTCATCACATGGCATCAACATTTTGCCACATAGTTGTCGTTTGTCTTCCATTTTTGGTGACCGAGAGAGCCCAAACCCAACAGAGTCATCACACTGCAGGGCTGCTGTTGGCCGTGAGCGCAAGCACATGCTCAGGGCTGTGGAGGAGCGAGTTCCTTCCTCGTACCACCCTGACCACTGCTTGCACAAAGTACCACATGCTATTTGCATTAGGTTTCTTCAGACCTGTCTTTACATATGTTCATGTTCTTTAGACAATTCATTATGTTATCTTTCTTTGGACCTGTCTTTCTTCTTTCGTTTTCCCTTAGACCTTTCTTCCATATGCTTCATTGTCCTTTTGTACCATATGCTTCTCAGCATGGCTCAGAGATTCCAGCCTCTACCTTCCTAGTCCAAGATTGCTATTCACAAGGACTTGCTTCTCCCCCCTTCTGGCCTTTGGTCTGACCACGTCTTAAAGCTCTTTGTCCTGAATGCTCTAACCCAGAGGTCCCTTACATTACATTTCAATGCTTTTGAATGTACGCGTTGACAATGTTGAGTAACCACGAAGGCCTGAGGCCTCGAGTTTATTGCCTTGAATAAGAACGCGTCTATTCCGATTGGATCTAGAATGTTTTTTTGGTTTGACTGCTTTTACTTTGAAGATTCAAAGCACTACTGTGTGTGCCTAGGCCTCAGTGCGTAGGCTTTTCACAAAAATAAATCGTGAGATGTTCTGAGAGGATGGTGCCTTGCGCTACGACTCCGAGCTGGAGAAAGCCTCCTCGCACCAGCAGGCCCTTGAGAAGGAGAAGGAACTCTTCAGGCGCTCGTGCGCTTGCCTTGTAAAAAAAAGGATAAAAGTGTTCTCAAAAGGGATTGAAGTCGTCTGAAAGAAAAGGAAGACAGGAAATTCTTCGATCTCTGATTGACCAGCCAAGAACCACTGTGTGGTTTGCTAGGTTTGAGAAGGCTGTGGGCATAGATACCCGTGGGCGGGTAGTTGGTGCAGCATTCGACCAAGAGCTGCAGGCGAGGAGGGCTGAGTAACGGAGTGAGGGAGCTGAGTAGGAGCTGAGTAGCGATGCACTTGTTACTTGTAGCGTCCTCTTGCTCCTAGTAGCGATGCACTTGTTACTAGTAGCGATGCACTTGTTACTAGTAGCGTCCTCTTGCTCCTAGTAGCGATGCACTTGTTACTAGTAGCGATGCACTTGTTACTAGTAGCGTCCTCTTGCTCCTAGTAGCGATGCACTTGTTACTAGTAGCGATGCACTTGTTACTAGTAGCATCCTCTTGCTCCTAGTAGCGATGCACTTGTTACTAGTAGCGATGCACATGTTACTAGTAGCGATGCACATGTTACTAGTAGCGTCCTCTTGCTCCTAGTAGCGATGCACTTGTTACTAGTAGCGATGCACTTGTTACTAGTCGCGTCCTCTTGCTCCTAGTAGCGATGCACTTGTTACTAGTAGCGATGCACATGTTACTAGTAGCGTCCTCTTGCTCCTAGTAGCGATGCACTGGTTACTAGTAGCGATGCACTTGTTACTAGTAGGGTCCTCTTGCTCCTAGTAGCGATGCACTTGTTACTAGTAGCGATGCACTTGTTACTAGTAG